CCTCCTTTTGGCTTCAGATTTTTTTTATTATTTTTGGTGTTCTGAAGTTTGAGAACTACATGCCTAGATGTAGATTTTTGGCATTTATCTGGTTCTATGTTATCTTAACTCCGTTGATCTTTGGTTTGGTGCCTGAGATTAATTTGTGGAAGTTCACAGACATTATTGTTTTAAGTGTTTCTTCTTTTTTTTTTCTCCATCTCTCTTCTTCTGCTGGTTTTCTCATTACTCTATATTACAACTTTTGACATTGTCCAGTACTCTTCAGATATTATGTTCTGTTCCTTTTGTGTTTTTCTTGTGTGTGTATGCTTTTCAGTTTTTATTCTCTGTGCTCTATCCTCAAACTCAGAGATTTTTTTCTCAGCTGTGTTCAGTCAGCTATGTTCAGTTGGTGAGAGTGTGGTGTCACTACTGTCAAGGACCACAGTTTGATCCCTATACTAGCCTGCCCCCTTTGTATCTCTCTAACATCTACATAAATATTTAAAGGATTTTCACTCATAGAACTTCAAATATCTTGTGTTTCCAAACAGACCAAATGCAATATATATATATATATATAATGAATTATTTATTTATATGATGAATTGTATTGGGAGGCTTTTTAATACTGAGCTTTCCTTTATTGTGGATTAAATTTTGAAAATTTCTTTTTGTCCTTCACATTGTATTTCTTTTCCTCTTTCTTATATTAAAAGATAAAGTGCTTCTGCAGACTCTATCCTTGTTCTTGTTTTATTCTCTTGTTTTTACTCAGAAGCTCTTAAGTTTGCTCAATCATTCTGATTTCTTCAGGTAGCATTGAAATTTTGATATTTCCCTGCCTTGGAGTGAACTTGGCCCCCTGTATGACAGTGTTAGGATGGTGGGTAATCCTATTATGGTAGTTGAAAGATGGGTCCTTAACGATGTGATTAGATCATAGGACCATACCATAATGAATGGGTTAATAATGGTGGGCAGGGATGTGGTTCTGAGGGCTTTAAAAGAAGAACATATGAGAGGTTGACCTCAATCTGCCCTACCATTTTCTGCTATGTGAGACCCCTGGGTCATTGTCATCTCCACCAAGTTCTTCACCAGCTGTGTTCCCTGGACTTTTGACTCCCTAACTTTTGAATCTGCAAGCAGTAAATTTCATTTTCTAACAAATCACCCAGTTCCAGGTATTTTGTTATAAGCAACAGAAATGGACTAATACATTTCCAAATCTTTATCTTTAGCTTAGATCTCTCTTGAGTTCTGGAATCATGTATCCAATTGCAATTTGGACATTCCCACAGATATTTCAAGTATAATGTATTCAATGTTTTATTTCTGCGCATTATATTTTTCTGTCATTCTAAAAGCTACACTTTACAGTGCTGTAATTATGTAGAGAGCCTGAGAGTAAAGCACTTTTATTTTCTGCACAGGAATTTAGTACCACAGTGTCTTCCTGTTTTTTGTTTCTGTATTACTTTCCTCTTCTGTATGCTTCTTGCTCTGTTATTTGTTTGTTTATTTTCTGTTGGTTGGCCTGTATGGGGATCTGAACCTGTGACCTTAGTGTTAACAGAAGCATGCTCTTTCAAGTGAACTAGCTAACCAGCCTAGCTCTGTGTTCTAATGCAGCTGGTCTTCAACTACCCTGTTTTCTTCTTCTCTGATTCTCTCTAAAGCTTTTTCCATTCTCCTGTGGATGACTATTAAATTGTAAATGTAGTATGTAACTGATTTGTACTTACAAAACCACATTATTTACACCCTGTGTTTAGAAAGTGGCAGTGTTCACTCTCATTTAGACACAAGCAATCCTTTGGCATGTGGGAAGGAAATTATGGAGTGCCTTTGTATATGCTTTCAGTTTACAAGTAGTTAAAAAACAGCAATTGCATATAATGTTTGGCTTTTTGAAATAGAAAAATATTTAAATGTAGAAGCATTCCGTAATGTTTCTTTAATAGCATGTGTATCTGCATGTTACTGCAGTTTTACTGTTGCCTCATACTCATGAGAACATGTGCTTCACATGGAAGAGCTTATCTTTGGCATTTCAGTGGAGTGCAAACAGAATGCAACATAGAAATATATTTTGTCTTTCTTTCCCCATTCTCTATTGAACTTCTGTCAAAATTTGTTAATCTGACACACTCGCTCAGGTATGTATGTATACTTACGTTTTCAAACCTGCTTTTAACCTTCTTGGAGAAGCAGTATTTTATTCATACTTTTATAACTAGCAAGAAGAATGGTTCATAGCTATAAGGTAAGCTTTGTAATCATGTTTTTACTAATTAATATAAGTGACAGGATATTCCTGCTTGGATTTTTTCCCTCCACTATACGGAGAATAGAAAAGCAGCACCTTATTTAACACATAAGACACTCATCCTCACACAGAGGTGTGAACTCTGAGATTCCTATTTTGTGACCCAGGGCTGGTGGCTTGAATTAAGATCAATGTGCCATTACAGGTGTTGGTGTCATTTGAGGATGTGGTTGTGGACTTCACCTGGGAGGAGTGGAGGGACTTGAATGATGCTCAGAGGACTTTGTACAGGGATGTGATGCTGGAGATCTACAGCAGCCTGGTGTCATTGGGTGAGTTAAACTCCCCAATAACTTTCAGGAGAAATGTTTTCTAATTTTTTTTAATAAAAATAGGAATGGTTTATAGGGTTTTATGCTATTTGGTAAAATTACATTTCATGAAAAACATGTCATCCCTATCTAACAAAAGATTCAATTTAGCCTCTTTATTGTATAATTTCTGGAGCTGAGCTCTTGTCATTCTTCCAAGGATCTGACTTTACAGTTTTATAAAATCCCATATTACTTCCCATTAACAGGGTACTGCATTAGTAAACCTGAGGTGATCCTCAAGTTGGAGAAAGGAGCAGAGCCATGGATAAGAAAAGAATACCCAAAGCAGTGCCTCCCAGGTTAGTAAGCACATCCTGGGTAGAGTCCATGAAGAGTAAAACCCTGCAGATCTTGACTGTGTTCAGCTGTTTCTAACAATTATTCCACACGTCCGTGAGCTGAGGCTGGCTCATCTCCTTGCATTAAACACATGTATTATGTAATCTCTCAGATGGACTCATACATATATATCTCCATATTTTATTTTGCTGTTTTTTAACAATGTATTTTCCTAAAATATAATGTCTACATTTTCTTCTTTGACATTTATTTTGCTATTCATCTTTTCAATATTCTCAGTTGCCCTCATGTCCGGCACTCTCGTGGACATTGGTTTTCAGACTCTGTCCTTTTGTGTTACTTAAAACAGAATATCTGTAACTGGGTAATTTATGAAGAAACAAACTGTCTCTTACAGTTCTGTTCTGGAGGCTGAGCATTCCAAGGTCTAGGGGCTGCATGTGCTAAGGGCCTTATTTTTGGTGGTGATTCTTGGCAGAATCCCAGAGTGGTGCAGGATATCACATAGGAAGTTGATAAGAAAATAAGGAAAGAGGCCCAGATATGAGTCTTCTATACCACCACATCAGAAATTATGGAGCTGAGGCTGACTTAGCACAGGGCATGGAAAAGGAGAGTTCTTGATTTTATAGAAGAACCAGAAGACTCATGGTATGAAGGTGAAGTAAATGGAGGGTTTCAAGTTGAGGGACGGAGATTGTTGTTTGGAAGTGGAATTTGAAGTTAGTATTTTCCTCTTCTCTTTGTAGAAATCGTTCTAAAATGACAATTAAATTTAGAAATGTACAGGAGACTCTTATTTTTTATGAGTATAATAGCCATCCAAAACTCCAGTGCGTAATACTGAAGATTTCATGAGCAATGAATTATGAAGTGGAAGTGTGTGTTCCAGAGTTTGGGAAGATAATACAGGTTGATTTTATAAGGAGTCTAAAGCACCATTTTCAAAGATGGTAGCAAAGCCTTGGTTGCAGAACCAAATATTTTAGACCAGCTGAGTGTCCTGTAGGGGTGGACTGAAGTTTCCTGTAGAGTAATGGTTTTTTGAAGCACAGGAAGTCCGGTTAAATGAGTAATTTGTGGGAGGCTCTGTTTAGGGTGGGGAAAAAGGAGATTTTATTATTTCAAAAACTTCTACACGCCTGTAGCCATTTCCTAAGGGAGAGTAAAAAGTATAGAAACATTAATGCAAAATTCTTAACCTAAGTCATTTTCCTCCATATGTGATGAAAAATTGGATCATTCTGCACCTGAAGGTAGCCAATGAAGGATAACCTGGCCATATTCAAAGCAGAAGAATGAGAAAAAGAGCTGCAGGAGATAACCACAATTGTTATAAAAATAAAATAGAGTAAAAACTGTAATAATAAAAGAGAGTTAAAGAAAAAGGGGTAAAAAAACAAATGGAAGGTGATAAGCAATTATTTGAAATCTGCAATTAGGAAAAAGGTAAAAATTACCAAATATTTCATCATGATGTGGAAACAAAAAAGTGAATGAAGAAGCAAGAAACAAAAAAGTGAGTGAAGAAGCAAAGAAGAATGTGACATAGTGTTAGAAAATATACTAATACAATATAACATTATGTCAGTATGAAGAAAGCCTATATACTTCTGAAGCCACTATTGATTTTTATAAAATCTCTTTATTACCTGGGTTGGGAGAAACTTCTCTACCTTTACATGAGCATGCAATGAAATATGCTTATGTGTGGCTCATGGATATGGTTTTTTTTTTTTTTTTGTCATTTCAGATGTCCAGATAGTCAATGACCTCATTGAGAGGAGCCAAGATAGTCATGGTAGATACTTGTGGCGAGGTGTAATCATCAATGGAAATCAATCAACTGAGGAGAGAGTGGAGTTAGGAAAATCAGTGAATGCACTTTCAATGCATACTTTGAATCTGGTTATAAATAATGGAAACTATTCAGGAGTGGTGCATGAGGAGTTTAAAAAATGTCAGAATGCAGTTCTTCCCGAGACTGATGCCATGTGTGCTGGACAGAAACCTGATGAGCATAATATGTCTGAGGAATCACACAGTCATCATGAGCATCTTAGTGAGCATCCTCAGATTCCAGCTGGGCAACTTTTTGAATATAGTGGAAATGGACAGTTCTCCAATACAGTGCCAATAATATTTGCTTATAAGAAAACTCATATGGGTGAGATCACTTGTAAATGTAGTGAGTATGGGAAAGCCTGTAATAAGTCATCTGTCATTGCCCAAGAGATAGCTCAGGTTGGGATGAAAACTTTTCAGTGTATCATATGTGGGAAAATGTTCTATAAAAAGGCTAGACTTACTCAACATCAGATTATACACACAGGAGAGAAACATGATAAATACAGTGAGTGTCAGAAATCTTTTATCAAGCAATCATACCTTATTTCATATCAGGGAACATCTACAGGGAAAGCTTTTAACCAAAAGTCAGCCCTCAATAGGCATCAGAGAATTCACAAAAGTAAAACAACATATGAATGTAAGGAAAATTCAAAAGCTTTCAACCAAATGTCAGCCTTCAGTATGCATTGGAGAACTCAACCAGGTGATAAGCCCCACAAATGTAATGGATGTAGAAAAAGAATTAACAAGCCATCCTTCAGAATGAATCAGAGTACTCACACAGGGAAACCACCTTATGAATGTAAAGAATGTGGAAAAGCTTTTAAGCAAAAGTCAAAACTCAGCAGGCATCAGAGAATTCACACAGGTGAGAAACCATATGAATGTAAAGAATGTGGAAAAGCTTTTAAGCAAAATTCAAAACTCAGCAGGCATCAGAGAATTCACACAGGTGAGAAACCATATGAATGTAAAGAATGTGGAAAAGCTTTTAAATTTAAGTCACACCTCAGAATGCATCAGAGCATTCACAGAGGTGAGAAACCACATGAATGTAAAGAATGTGGAAAAGCTTTCAAAAAAAAGTCATACCTCAGCATGCATCAGAGAATTCACACAGGTGAGAGACCCTATCAATGTAAAGAATGTGGAAAAGCTTTTAACCAAAAGTCACACCTCAGCAGGCATCAGAGAATTCACACAGGTGAGAAACCATATGAATGTAAAGAATGTGGAAAAGCTTTTAATCGAAAGTCAGATCTCAGCATGCACCAGAGCGTCCATCCAGGTGAGAAACCATATAAATGTAAAGAATGTGGAAAAGATTTTAAGTTAAAGTCACACCTCAGCAAGCATAAGAGAATTCACAGAGGTGGGAAACCATATGGATGTAAAGAATGTGGAAAAGCTTTTAACCAAAAGTCAACCCTCAGAATGCATCAGAGAATTCACACAGGTGAGAGACCATATGAATGTAAAGAATGTGGAAAAGATTTTAACCGAAATTCACACCTCAGCAGGCATCAGAGAATTCACACAGGTGAGAGACCATATGAATGTAAAGAATGTGGAAAAGCTTTTAATCGAAAGTCGCACCTCAGAATGCATCAGAGAATTCACACAGGTGAGAAACCATATGAATGTAAAGAATGTGGAAAAGCTTTTAAGTTTAAGTCACATCTCAGAATGCATCAGAGAATTCACAGAGGTGAGAAACCATATGAATGTAAAGAATGTGGAAAAGCTTTTAACCACAAGTCACACCTTAGCATGCATCAGAGAATTCACACAGGTGAGAGACCATATCAATGTAAAGAATGTGGAAAAGCTTTTAAACAACAGTCAGCCCTCAGCAGGCATCAGAGAATTCACACAGGTGAGAAACCTTATGAATGTAAAGAATGTGTAAAAGCTTTTAATCAAAAGTCAGAGCTCAGCAGGCATCAGAGAATTCACAGAGCTGAGAAGCCACAGTAATGTAAAGAATGTGGAAAAGCTTTTAACCAAAAGTCACACCTCAGCAGGCATCAGAGAATTCACACAGGTGAGAAACCAACACAGGTGAGAAACCATATGAATGTAAAGAATGTGGAAAAGCTTTTAATCGAAAGTCAGAAATCAGCAGGCGTCAGAGAATTCACACAGGTGAGAAACCATATGAATGTAAAGAATGTGGAAAAGCTTTTAATCGAAAGTCAGAAATCAGCAGGCGTCAGAGAATTCACACAGGTGAGAGACCATATGGATGTAAAGAATGTGGAAAAGATTTTAACCAAAAGTCACACCTCAGCAGGCATCAGAGAATTCACAGAGCCGAGAAGCCACAGTAACGTAAAGAATGTGGAAAAGCTTTTAACCAAAAGTCAATCCTCAGCATGCTTCAGGGAATTCATACAGGTGAGAAGCCACGTGAATGTAATGAATGTGGAAAAAGCTTTTTTTTTACAATGTCACCGTTGAGAAGACATCAGGATACTCACACAGGAAAAAACTCCTTATGAATGCAATACGACAGGCCTTGTACTGAAATTCCCCCTAACAGATAAAAAAGAATTCACAGAAAGGAAAATCTCAGTGAATGTAATTTATATGGGAAAAGATTTTTCCAGACGTCATACTGCAAGACATCAGAGAACTTGTATCTGGAAGAAGACCTGTAAATATACAGTTGTCCTCAGGCATTGAAGAATGTCTTGAGGATCCCCTATTGATATAAAAATTTGCTGATGCTCAAGTCCCTTCTATAAATGTTGTAGTTTTTGTGTATTACCAATTAACTTCCTGCTGTGTATTTTATATCTTGTGTAGATTACTTATAATACTGAAAAAATGTGAATACTATGTAAATTGTTGTTATACTGTATTGTTTTTCAGTTGTAGAATTGCTTCATTTATTGTTTTTATTTACTTTTGAAGATTTTTGATAAGTAGTTTCTTGAGTCACCAGATGTGTAACCCTCAGATGTGGAAGGAGGACTGTAATGAGTGTGAAAACATCTTTTCTCCAAGGTCTCAAGACTGACTATGGTTAGAGCCTTTTTGCTTATAACATTGGTGCTTTTTTTTTTTTTTTTTTTTTTTGTTTTTTTCGTGACCGGTAAGGGGATCACAACCCTTGGTGTGGTGTCACCTGCACCGCGCTCAGCCAGTGAGCACACTGGCCAGTCCTGTATAGGATCCAAACCCGTGATGGGAACGTCGCTGCGCTCCCAGCGCCACACTCTCCTAAGTGTGCCATGGGGCCAGCCCAACATTAGTGCTCTTAACACAAATGATCTCCATACCAGACATGCACCAAAAACTAAATAAATAAAAATATAAAGGAATCACATCATAGCAGGCATTAGAGGATTTAAAGAGGGGAGAAATTCTATATGGGTTAAACTGACTGTGCCTTTTTAAAAATAAAACCACTCTTTTCTCTTGTTTGCATAGCCTACAATCTGAGCATTCCACAATTGGGTTGATGACCATGTAATTTAACTCTGTTCAGGGGAATGTAGATATAAGTGGTGAACATTACTTCCAGTTCAGGCAACAAAATAAAAAAAAAATTCCATTCAGTTCCTGGTTTCTCATGTTATTTGCAACTGAATAAAGATGACTCTTGGGTGCACTTGGGGGCCACAGGTGAAAGAAATCCACCCTAATTTAAAATAGAAGAAATCGAAGAAACCAGATATATTCTCGCCACCACCCCAAAACCTCTGTTTACACATTATATAAGAAATTATTTCCTGTTAAGCCATTTTTATGTGTGCCCTGTTTGCATTACAACAGAAGAGGTGCACTCCAGCTAAATGATTTTATAGACTTTCTGAGAGGATTTTCCAGTCCTTGTATATGGGACGAGAATCCGGTGTTGTCACCATTTATACCCAAGTCAGTTTGTGGGAAAACCAAATTATGGGGAGAAAGAATGCAGTAGCTGTGACACTTCTTATTGGGACAGTTTATTGAACAGTGAAAATAAAGTTAAATATCTTTCTAAATCTTTCTAATGTGTCAAAGCTTTCAAGGAAACTTTCAACCCTTTTTATGTCAGAATTTGAAATGAAGAGAAAACTAATAAATAAGTTTTCAAATAGATACGATAAATGGAGTTTTAAAAGTATTTTTAACATTTTCAGTGTTACCAACATTTAAATATGACTGGTGACACTACCTTCCAGGGGACATTGTCTGAAGACATTTTTGGTTGACATAACTGAAGGTTGGGAGGTGCTACTCCATTGAGTGGGAAGACACAGATGTTGGTAAACAGCCTACAATGCAAAAGAAAGCCACCTCACATGCAAC